CCCCCCCCCCCGCTCACTTGAATCATCCTGTTGCAATCAGCAGAGCCCGCCTTGGCATACGGCTCACCGGGCTTTGCGCAGCACGTTAAATCTCGCCTGTTTACTCCCAGAGCGTGACGACAGGGGAGCCATCGCGGCACCTTCGTAATTAACACTGTCAGTTCGGCGCGGTCGCTACGATGCTTGGGGGCTCGCTCCCGATCCCTGGCCCCTCACACCTCGCCGCGGCTCTCTCCCGGACTCTCTCACGCGCTCCGCTCGCTCGCCTTCAGGGACCCGCAGGCGTCAGCCTCCACGGGGCCACGAAGGGTTAAGCGGCGTGTCTGATACTGCTCCTCTCCGGGCTGCTGCGTCTATCAAGCCCGACGGACACGAGGGCCGGAAGGCGATGTTTCTCCGTCCGCCGGAAATGGACCCAAACAGACCCACTCTCTTAAAGATGCCATACATTTCGGTGAAGGGTTCGCTGACCTCATCCTTTGGGCCCCGCAGCAAGGGACTGGATGCAAGCCAACACATGGTACAGGTTCGAGACCCTGATCCGCCCCCACAACAACGAAAATCCCAGGTCACCATTGCTGCTGCGGATGCAGTTCGGCGGAATCGCGGTCCTCGTCCTGCCTGTCGTGAGTCGCTCCCGTCCGACCTAGTCTCAACTCACCATTCCCGCCGATCATGTAGCCAGAGGTAGGACTGAGTTGGCCCGCTGTCCCCAGAGAGTGTGGACAACAAAGAGGCTGTGCTTGAAAGGGCAGCCTAGCTGATTCTGCTGTGGAACAGAGGCGTCATTTGACAGGTCGCCGGCCATCATGGCAAACCACTGCCCTTTAGATCCTCCCGTGTCATCAATGCCTGATGCATTTGTGGCTTTACACAGATTTCCTGTTTGAAAATATAAGGCAACAGATTATTGGAGGGAACTGGAGCACAACCATCATGTGACAGCCAATGACATCCAAATAGAAAATCCAATGTTATGTAGGTCACAACAAAAGACACACAAGCCTCTCAGGGCTAAAGTGTGTGTGTGTATTATTCCTTGACTGCTGTTAAGGTTTATCGGATACCATCCTGCCAAACCAGGCAGCGGCCAGTAATCCCACTGGCCGTGGACCCTGAAGCCCCCTCCCCATCGTCGGGGGCTTGACGCTCCGTGTTTATCCCGTTCCTCTCTCTCACCAGAACGAACGGCTGTGGCGTTTTCAGGTTCATAAATGGCGAAATGGAACAGAAAAGCACAACTCCCCCCCCCCAATAATCATGTTTCCCCTGTCATGGGTGGAGACTTACACCCCCCCCCCCCAAGCCTTGTGTACAGAGCTGCCTTGAAGGCGTCTGCGCAGGCGGGCGGCAGACGGACAGCCGGAGAGAGCTGCCGATCGGTATCATTTTAAATAAATAAAAAGGGCTGACAAGAGGAGCACAGGGTGTGTGTCCGGAACTTTACTCCCAGCCACGCACACGATATAAATTACGATAGATATCCAGGGCCTTTAAGTACGAGGGGAGACAGAGTTTACAAGGCAGGGCGCACTCAGGAGCGATACTGTAAAATGTATATATGCCGCACACACAGAAGCGGGCTGACACACACAGCAGCCACGCTACAAAACAGCCTCAGATATGGATGCTTTCTGCTACACAGAGCTTTCAGCCGCTTCCAGCACGGTGACAGGTGACTCTGAGAAGTTCCCACACTCGCGCTCGAAGACGGGGGAGGGGAGCACCGCGTTCAGCCTGAAAATGTATAACCGGAGCCGCCCCACCGGCGGCGTATAAAGATGCTGTCTCCCCACCTGCCTGCAACCTCCTGACCTTTTGGCAGTACGCTGTACGGATGTATAGTCTATCTGCAGTCTATGTGCTGGAGATGAGGGGCTTATAGAGATGGGCCCTTCCAACGGCCACCGATAAAGACCAGCTGACGATTCTGCATCAAGGCCACCAAACAGGGCCTGGCAAACGTTCGATCGTGGTGTGTGCAGCGACAGGTGGGCTGTGTCCTTCCCCCTCCACCATAGCACGCTGTTTTTAATTTATTTCTTTTTAATCTGGTCTCTCTTCGGGAGGGGCAGGGGGAGCTGAAAACCAAAAACCTGTGGGGTCTGACAGCTCAGCATCGATTCCTAATTAATTGCCGACTCTGCGCTTGTTTGTCAGCAAGCCAGAGCAGGTGTAAAGCAAGCGTCCCGCGCAAAATTTCATTATGCGCGCTCCGTGGGGGCCACGCTGTTTAACTCTGCCTCACCCCCCTTGGGGGGGGGGTGTAAAGGAGGAAAGCTAAATGGTAAATCAATACTGTGGGTCTGTGAGGGCGGGCTCATTTATGGTACTGCCCACCTGGAAATTCCGCCAATGCCCCGGTGGTTGGCAGCTTGACAGACTTTCATGGCCACCATTTAGCTAAAGAACGGCAGAGGAAGAAGTAGGCGGGGACTTATCGCTGGAGGACAGGGGCAGGAATCAATCACATAGTGTAAGTGAGGTAACGATATTCCGTGTTTCAGCCTATTCTGAGCACAATCTATTTACTGATCAGGACACAGAGGGATTTAGCCTGAAGACACAGTCTTCAATACACTAGGGTCAACCTTCAGCAATACACTCCAGAGAGACATCACGCAGAGCCTAAGACAGTCACGTTTTCACAAGTCAAAAACAGAATAAAACGAAAAAAAAAATCTAGCTCTATTTATTTCAAACAAATGAAACATGTTTAAAGTGATTTTAACCAGTTACATATGTTTCCTTAAAATGTTTTAATCCTAGTTGCAGGATAGCTACTAATCTTTTTAGGAAATGTATATAACGAATAATTAATAAAGCCGAGATAGCTACTAATCTATTACGGAAATGCTTGCATTTATTTTTCACTTTATTAATCAGCTTTTTCCTTACATTGCTAACACTGCAAATTAAAATGAAAATAAAAAGGTAAGCTTGGCTTTACGCAGAAGGTCCTGCATAATTGGAGGAGTCATGATATCAAAACATTACATTTTTTCTCCAAGGTTTCTGCTACCTAAGGACTAACACTGCATAAAGAATAAGCGCTTGCAAGTTAAAAACATATAATAACAATCTCTCGATTATTTATTGTGAGTGTGAATAATTTCTTCAGGGTAACTTTTTGTGGATCTTTTTTAGATTTAATCACCAAACTATTAACACCTAGTTTTCTTCCTTTAATATAATAATATGTGTGTATGCGTGCGTGATTTACGATTATGTAGTTCCAATAATATACTCACGCTTGTAGTTTTATGGGGAAATTTGATTACGTTTCATTTTCAGGTCCGAATTCTCTTCCCATATGGGAAAAAAAACACCCTCTCAGGTTATTCTGACGGAGGATTCCGATTGTAGCGGGAACAGCGGTTGGGGCAGCGGCACACCGTGTGTCGTAAAAATCGCACGTTGTTGACAGTCCGTCTACCACGACACTTTTATTGAATGACAGCGACCGTTCAGCTTCCGAGTGGATGATTTTATCCCAAGATACTTGCAGTCTGTATGTATGGTATCGCATGCTTGTACAAATCTCTTTAGCGTTTTGCTAAAGAGACTTAGCATAATTTATTTTGCCCAAGGGTACAAAAGCAGAGAGCCCCCTCTGGGGAGTCCGAGAGCATAATCACCGCTCTGCCATCTGCCCTGCTGCGTGTCCTAGCAGGAAGGATAGCGCACTGCCTTGCTGTGCCTAGATCACACTTCATTCCTCTTCACTCAGCCATTCTTATTGCCGTGATTAAGATCTGTCATTTTCCATCTTCAGACCATTCCTCGGGACGTAGATCTAAGACGAGCACAGTCCTTGTTTGCATCCGTACGTTGAGTCCGTTTAGCATGCTGGCTAAGTGACCTTCCTGAAATGAATCCGGAAGGACGATTCCCACGCAAGCAGGGAAAACCAGTCAAACCACTATTGCTTCATGGGGGCATGGAAAAAAATTAAATACCTAATGGCACATTGGGGTCACCAAGGTGCCATTAGGTGATCTCAGCTCCTCATCACCTCCAGCTCATAGCCACCTCAGCTGCAGATGGTTAAGATGAATCCCTCGAGGGAGGAGGGGCATGGGGTGCTATCCATTGCCTCCCCAGACTGCTATCAGACTGCCTCCTCAGATTCAATCTGCTTGACATACACGCTGCATGAAATCCTAACGAACGAGAATAATATTACATTTTGCCCTCTGTAAACTGTAAACTCCATAGGTTATAATCTACCTGTTTGTCTACCATAGCCTCTTAATACGGCTTTTAATCCATCCATCCATGCATCTCCCATAAGTGCTTATCCAGCAGTGGGTCACAGGAGACCTGGAACCCATCCCAGGAAACAGGGCAGGAAACAGGGGACGTCCTTGCCAGGATGCCCGCCCATCGCACATCCCACCCTGTGGCCAATTCAGAGATACCGGTTCACCTACATGGCATTTGGGAAACCTGAGCAAATACGGGGAGAGCAGTTTGCACACAGAGATCTGGGGCAGGATTACATGCCTATCCCTGGAGGTGTGAGGCTGCAGGGCTCACCGCTTAGCCACCGCGCCTACGAATATATCATCATATATTAGCATGTTAGCAATCCACCGTGTCCAAGGCGAAGCTGTTAGCGGATTAGTGCAAAAGGCGCCAAGCAGGCGAAGCAAACTCTTGATTGATTTACCCCGAACTGCAAGGACCCATGTGCTAAGCAGCAACACATGCTAATTTTACAGGTACACGACGCTCCCACTTGTGATGCACCATAGGCAGAGCCCAGTTGCATCAGTGACTATTCCATCGCTGTCGAATACCACGCTTCTGCCATAGTGGTGCCGTGATGAGGGTGTGATGCAGGTCATTCATCTGTGGGTCTCATTTGCTCTTCTAGTGTTACCTACGTGTCTCTGCAGAAACACTCAAGGCTTACGTAAGATATCACCTCTTCTATAAGCTGTTTTTCACATTTGCAACTCGTCTTTTTTTTTTTAAAACTTAGGTAAAGTTGCTCAGTAGCTAAAGTTAGCTAGGCAGGGTTACAGTGGGCAGCACTGTTGCCTCACACCTCAGGGGGCTGGGGGATTTGAATCCCGCCCACATTAGTGTGTGGAGTTTGCATGGTCCCGCTGCGTGGGTTATGTGTAGTTACCATAAGATCAATTGGTGTCCTATATTCCCAGGATAGGCTCCAGTCTAACCCAATGACCCTTCAGCGCACAATGAGTTTGAAGATGGATGGATGAATTTACTCAATTGTCTTTTGCAAGAGTTCTAGAATTCCTACAATTACAGACAGTCATTTGAAGCAGATGATTTGCAATTGTTCACATCTACCAGACTATCTGCTTGGTTGACTGGTGATCAAATGTGCCCTCGCCGCGTGAACGACAGAATCATAATTTAGACGTTTTTCTCTTGAATGGACACACAAGCTACTGGGCACATACACATAATTATTATGACATGTTTGCCTCTTGGGGCGCTTGGCATTTAATGGAGATTTAACTAATTTTGCAGGCTCATAAAACAGCAGAATTGATTTCGACATATTCCAGTCTGATTCGCAATTTCTGATCAGGCTGAAACAATTAATATGAGTTGTCTGGAATATGGAGCAAGTTGGGCAAGACGTGTGTTC